TGGTGCTGTTGAAATCCTAGGGAGAGGAGCCCAGAAAGAGCAGGTCAGTTGTTTACCAGGAGGCTAGCTGTGGCCCAGTCTTGGACCTGAGTCACCTCCTCATGTCCAATGGAGAGGCTGTGCCTTGCTGTGCCTACACTGTGACTCCTGTGAGCCCAGAGCAGGGTTACAGTGCTGACACATGACCTGCTTCTGGCCTTCAGCAACCCAGAGATTACAATCCACCTGTCCACACAACTGTTTCATCAACAGTACCGTCAGCAGGCCACACACAACCTGAAGGGGAGCAATGTTTGGTCATTAAATAATTCACTGTGCTTATTATAGCATGGGGGAAGGGGAAGCCAAGCCCGTAAGCTCTTCTGTCAAGGAGCTAAAGAGATGGCTCAGTGGTTCAGAGTGCTTCTTCCTCTTGCACAGGACTTGAGTTCAAGCCCAGCATGTGCATCAAGCAACCACTTAGAACTCTAGCTCTGACACCCTCTCTGGCCTTTGGACTCTCTCTCTCTCTCTCTCTCTCTCTCTCTCTCTCTCTCTCTCTCTCTCTCTCTCTCTCTCTCTCTCTCTCTCTCTCTCTCTCTCTCTATATATATATATATATATATATATATCTCTCTCTCTGTCTCTCTCTCTGTCAAATGATAGATGGGACAAATGATTCTCATGGCTGGCATTTTGGAAGCCAATGGTATGTGGGGAAAGTGATCATCCTGGATCATGGTTCTAAGCCCAACCCACTCAGGTAATTTTACTCTCCAGCTTTAATGGGACTCTAGATAGCCTTGGTCTAAACAAAGTGTAGTCTATAGAACCCAAAAGAGAAGATGATCTGAAAACACTGCTTTCTTTTATAAGGATTCCCACAGTTTCTGGTTTGGTTTAGTTTGGTTTTTGTTGCTGTTATTTTCAAAACAGGGTCTCACTATGTAGTCCTGGCTGTCCTGGAGCTCACTCTGTAGACGAAGTTGGCCTTGAACTCAGAGATCCACCTGCCTCTGCCTCCTAAGTGCTGGGATTAAAGGCGTGCGCCACCTCTGCCCAGCCCCGCACAATCTCTACTAGCAGATACATCAGTGAGAAGTCCTTCAGTAAAGAGAGTGAAGTGAACACACTTCACTGGCCATCCCATCATGGGAAAGGACACCTATTAATATCCCATGGCATCAGAGCTGGGAAGCTCCTTCCTCTTGGTCTTCAGTTTCCAATCTAGAGAAAGCTGCCATCCTGAGACCAAGCTAACTGTGTGGCCAGCTCCACCAGGTCTAGACAGAGGAGTGAGGCAACTCTGCTCCGATGATGGGGCAGAACGATGGCCAACAGGGGCAGAACGATGGCCAAGGGCGTGTAGTGCTAAATGAACAGGGACAGCTCTGTCTCAGGAGCACCTGTGATGCTCAAGACCTCACGGTTGACCTTGAGACTGGCATATTGCTGCTTCTTGTGGCCCACATGCCTCAATGGACTGACTGAGAAGTGTTCATCACTTGCTCAGAGCCTCAGTTCTCGTTCTCTCTCTCTCTCTCTCTCTCTCTCTCTCTCTCTCTCTCTCTCTCTCTCTCTCTCTCGTGTGTGTGTGTGTGTGTGTGTGTGTGTGTGTGTGTGTGTGTGTGTGTGTGTTTGTATGTGTGTGTGTATAGGTGTGTGTGCAGATGCACTCACCTGAACATGTGGAAGCCAGATGTTAATGTCAATTTCCCCAATTGCTCCTCACCTTATCTTTCTGAGACAAGGTCTCTTTACTGAGCTGGCCAGTGATGAACTAGTCTGGCCAGAAGGCCCCAGGATCGGCCTGTCTTGTCCTCCTCATACTAGGGTTACAGATGAGCACTGATGTGCCCAGTTTTTCTGTGGGTTCTGGGGATCTGAACTCAGGTCCTTATGCTTGAGCAGCAAGCACTTTACTCACTGAGCCGTCTGCCCAGCTTCTTCACTTCCCTCCTGGTCCCTCCTGAATGGCTGTCAGGATGACCTAAGATAACAAGACCCAAGACCTGCATCTCCTTCTCCAGAGACCAGGGTGTGTTCATTTATGTCACTTAATTGTCCCTACATGGGGGACAGCAAAGGCTAGAATCAAATTATGACTCGTCATGAAACATAGCACTCTGCTCTCTAAAAGCAAGGCACAGGCTTGCCTAGAGAAGCCAATTTCCTTCTCGTTTCTGAGACGTGTGTAACAAGAGTTGGGCACCTGTGAAATATCACCTCCACACACATCACCGGTCTCATTTGCTATTATATCCCAGTGCCAAGGCACTCAGCGCACGCACGCGTGCACGCGCGCGCACACACACACACACACACACACACACACACACACACACACTCTCACACATTGAATAGATGGTCACATAAGACAGTGAGTGTGTGAATGGTCTAAGCTAAGGTAGAATCCCCCTATGGTGATCTCAAGAGTCAGTTGTGTGTATGGTTAAGAATATGGACTCGAGTCAGACTACCTGGCATTGAATCCTGTCCCACCACTTGTTTATATGGCCTTGGGCAGATGATGAAATTTCCGTGGCTTTTTTATTCCCTACAATGGAAGAATAATAAAAATAGCAATGCCATGAGATGCCATGATTAATCAGTCAGCACATGGGAAGTGTTGGGACTCATCCTTAGCTCAGCATATGTGTTTTGAAGGTATTCTCTGTCAGCATCATTATCTTCTTCGTCATCATGATATCAGATACAAGAAAGTCCAGCAGGGAAATGAATGTAAAGTTTCACACCGACACTGACTCCTTTTATTTGACATTTATCAAACACCATGACAGAGCTGGTACTCTCCCAAGTTTCTACCTGGGTATGGGAAGACAGACGGAAGGCATGTTTAAACATGAAGCCAGATCTGGGGGGAAAGGCATCGCCTCTATCATTGCCACTTCTTGGTGACTGTGTACATCCTGAACTCGAGCTATCAGTCTATACCCTCATCAGTTCCTCACACCCTGTGTTAAAAGACAGAGCCATTGTCCCTTGTCCTACAGCGTCAGCACATGGAGGAAATAGATTCATATACTTGGTAGCAGAACCAGGCCACTGAACCGCTTTAGGAGAGAAAAGTATATTCCTATTTAATCCTAGCCTACATTTCACTTGCCCAAGATACTGTCAAGATCTGTGGTTGATCTAGAGGCCATCTGAAGAGTGACTAGCAAGAATAAAAGCAAGAAAAGCGAATATTTCATCTCAAAGAACTTCTTGATGTAGGTGAAGGCTATTAACCTATATGCAGGCCTTCAGGTCTGAGGCTAGGCTAAGGATGGATAGGCCTGAAAGATCAAAGAATCTCCCACCAACGCACCTAGAGAGAACAGCCTCTTCGGAGCAAGTCAGGTCCCTCCAAGTTGCTCGCCAGAGGTGGAGCTAATGATGGAACAGAGCAGGCAGAGGCTCCTTCTCCCTGGCTCAGAGGCTCCACTGCATCTCATCCTTGACTCTTTGAATCTAGGGAGGCATGTCTTCTCACAGTGTTGCAGCCTAGTCCACAACTGCTCAGGACCATGCTGGACTTAGTGGTGCCAGCTTTTACTCAGTAACTTGACATATTTCCCACCAAGAAGCTTCCAGCTACATAGTTTGGGGACAACCTAGTTAGGAGTAGTCTCCTATCCAGGGCCTCTCAATCTTACATCACAGACCTCTGCCAGTCTAGACCAGCCATTAGCAAATCTGCTCGCAAAGCAGCCACAGGAAGTTCTAGGGCGGAACCAACCTACTAAAGCACAAGACTGTACTCCTCCCTCGCCCAGTGACAGAGAAAAGGGGCCCTCAAACGACTCATCACCCTACTGTCCCGTGCACCCCTCTGCCTCCTGCTAGAAGTCCACACAGCCGAACACATCCAACGGGTCTCGTGCACGCGCCTAGAAACTTGTCCGGGAGCTCAGGAGCCAGCATGTCCCGGGTCCTTTAATTTCCCTAAATCTCGCAAACCTGGTCTAAGCCAGGCACCCGGGATGCTTCAGGCTCACCGGAGGCCTGTGGAGCCCAGGCCACTGCTGGGTAGGGAAAGGGCAGCACGGGGCCGGGGACAAGCTCTGGGGGTGGGCACTGCGGAGGTTCAAGTCTCTTCGCTGTCAAGGGACTGGACGCAGGACGCCGACCCAAGGTCGGCGGCGCAGCATCGTGCGCACTCACCGGGTTCGGAGGGCAGGGCCATGGGGGTTGGCCGCCGGGCTGGAGCGCAGGTGCCGCGCCAGGCAGGGCGCACAGGACAGCGGCTGCAGTGCACTGACGCCTGTGGGGCCGGGCGCGCCGAGCTGGACCCAACCAGGCCGCGCTCGCAGCCGGTGCCTGCCCGGCAGGAGCTCACGGCTGGCGGGGATCGAGCTGAGCCCTGCGCGACAGGGCCCGGGTGGCCGGGTGAGAGAAGCGCGAGCGGCCTGCACAGCGCAGCGGGATCGCGCACTACCTGGAGGACCCGCAGCTACCCAGGGCGCTGGGCCGTGCTGCCGGCAGGAAACCTGAGCACCCGGGAGCGGTGGCCGCCCTGTCCTCGGCCGGAAGCGAGCCCGGCTCCACCCGGGCTCCGCGGGGCTGCGACACAGTCCGGGGTCAGATGCCAGCGGGGATACCCGCTCTGAGCCTCGCTACCACCAGCCCAGCTGCAACGCCGGGCTCCAAGGTGTTTGCCGACCTCCTCCCCTCCCCACCTGGACTTGCCCCAAAACGAGATTCTGGAGGCTCGATCCCCACCAGGACACTTACTCTCGGTAGCTAAACCGATCATCAAGCATTGGTTTTCTCCAGGTGTCGGCCGGGTCCCTTGAATCACCTTCCCGCCCCTCCCAACACACAAGCGTGCGCGTACACACACACACACACACACACACACACACACACACACACACACACACACACACACACACGCACGCACACACTCCCTTGCTCTCCAGCCTTCTGCGGTCTGGTTTCTATGCCCGCCCCTCAAAGTCCGGAATGACCTCCGAGTTGCCAAGGCCAGCGGGAGCTTTCTGTGCACCCTTGCTCACCTCTTTCAAGCACTGGAGTCTGTTGACCACTCCTTCCTCCCTGGAACACAGCTCCCAAAGTTAGCACCCGGTGCCTGCCGACCTCGCACAACCACGCTGCGTGAGGCACACTTTCCTCTGGCTTGGGTGACCGGTTTCTCAGCTTCCATGGCCTGGTTTTCCATTATGCTGCTTCTGCTCCGGAGAATCTCAGGATGCCAGCTCCCTGGATCACTCCCTCAGCTCACTCAGAGAATCCAGGCCCATCCCCATGGCTTTAACAGCCTCCCGCCTGCTAATAGCTTTTGAATCCCCTCGTAGGCCCAGAACACTCCAGAGCAGCAGGTGCTATCATAGTAGAGAGCTTCTCAACCAGAGGGCCCCAGGCTCAACTCCTAATGGCCTGCCTGTGTTTCTAGTCTTGACATCACCAAGCACCCAGTCTTTAATCCACACTGGGGACCCAGCCTTGACTTGTGTTTCGTTCTCTAAGTTATTGCCACTACCTGTCCTCACTCATTGCAGAGCTGTCTCATTTAAGTACCAAATTTTATTCTTTCTACTTCATAGCCTGATGCTTACAGTCTACGTATTTATAAACGATACATATGTGACTGCTAATATACATTACAAAGCACACTAACAAGTTTCAAAAGATGTGATAAAGATGAACCAATAATTAAAAAAAAAAAACAAAAAAAAAAAACCAGAGTCTCACTGTGTAGCCCTGGCTGGCCTAGAATTTGCTATGGAGACCTTCCTCTGCCTCCAGAGTGCTGGGATTAAAGGCATGTGCCATCACACCCAGCAAATTATTTTCTTTTTAGTGAATGGTGTGCTGTATCTTTTTTTTTTTCACTTTAAAGTTGTCCACAATCTGATGAGTGCACAGGGATTAAACTAGTTTACTAAACCCTAATAATAGTTTACTAAACCCTAGTTTCACAGTTAATGAGACAAGAACATATGCTTCTAAGTTCACTTAATAGAATACTTGGTTCTAATGGCTATTGTTCTGATATAATTTATTTTATGTGTATGAATGTCTTGCTCCCATGTGTGTCTGTGTACCACCTGTGTGCCTGGTGCCTGAGGAGGTCGGAAGGGGGCACTGGATCCCCTGGAAGTGGAGTTATGGGTGGTTGTGAGCCACCAAGTGGATCTTCTGCAAGAGCAAGTGCTCTTAACTGTGAGCCATCTCTCCAGACCCCTGGCTGTTGATATTTGTTTCCTAAGAAGATACATCATGCAAAAATAAAAAGAACTGTCTTTGCATTTATTAAGTCATAATTCTGTTTAAGTGACACCTCCCAATTTATAAATGTGAAGTGGCACAGAAAACTGTTCTGTCACTGAAATCAAATTCTCTGAGTATTTCATCAATTGTTCTTATAAATATTTTTAATACAAAGGGTATTTTTAATTGAGATAATGAACCTATAAGATTGTAAACATTATGCTTTCAGAGCTGGCCAGTTGGTGTAGTCAGTAAAAGTACTTTATTGAAAGCATGAGGACCTTAGTTTGGTCGCATATCCTGACCCTGCACCAATGCATCCTTGTAATCCCAGTGCTGGGGAGGCAGAGGCAGGAGGATACCTGGGACTTACTAGCTGGCCAGTCTAGACAAATCAGCAGGATCCAGGTTCAGTGATGACTGTGTCTTAAAAAATAAGGTGGGGATAAATTGAGGAAGACATCAGACAACCTCTAGCTTTGACACATGCATGCAGACTGTAACAAAAGGGGAAAGAGGACATGCAGCCAGATGTTTCTCCCATCCTGCCTTGCGCAGCAGTCCGGACGAATCTCTCCCACCTGTAGTCCCACAGCCGCTTATAAAATAATCACACAGAGGCTTATATTAGTTACAAACTGTATGGCCTATGGCTTCAGCTGCCTGCTAGCTAGCTTTTTTTTTTTTTTCTTAAATTAACCCATTTCTCTAAATCTATATGTTGCCATGTGGCCGTGGCATTATCGGTCTGCTGACATCTTGTTGCTCCTTTGGTGGCGGGCTGGTGTCTCCCCTGACTCCGCCCTTCTCTCTCTGCTTCTGCTTGGATTTCCCACCTGGCTGTAAGCTTTCTTGCCATAGACCAAAACAGCTTTATTTATTATCCAATGGGAGTCACACATATTCACAGCATACAGAAAGACATCCCACAGCAGTGACACATTTCATTTTGCCATTAAACTTACATAATAGGAACAGTCAAAATGCCACTTTTTGTAGTGCAATCCTGTAATATGATTCATTTATTAAAATATCTCCTTAAAAATATCCCCCTTGCCTGATAGACACTGTGAGTTTTTTGGTTTGGGTTGGGTTTTTTTTTTTTTTTTTTTTTTTTGGTTTGTGTTGGTTTTGTGTATGTGTGTGTGTGTGTGTGTGTGTGTATGTGTGTGTGCGCGCATCCCCTCTACATAACACACTTATAACAGTTATAGTCAGCAGAGGTCAGCAAATTTGGGACATTTGTCCTTCGTGTTAAAGAGACACATTTCTAAATTCCACAGATATCAAGTTCTTGGCCCTGAGACATCAGTGAACTTCTGAGCAATAGTCAGGATTTTCTGTGTCCCCCGATATTTCATTATAAATGTTATAAAGCTCCCACTGTGTTTTAAGGGTCTTTCTTAACCATATCCCTTCAACATCATTGTGGCAGCTTATGCAGGCAAGAGTGAATGATGGGTTTCATGTGGCAGTCTTCAGACAGGGTCACCAGCATATGGTGGTCCTCACCACGGGATAAGTTGTCCATTGTTGTGAACACATCCTTATCCTTATTTTACTAAACAGGATTTCATGAATGTTATCATCAGGAAGCATGGCATCTTCCAGGCAATCAGAATTTCTCAACAACTGCGGGATCTGCCCAAGAATGGGCCCATCAACAGCAAGACATGGAAGGACCAGAGGCTCAGGGGTCCTTAACTCTCACAGCTGATAGATTCATGGAATGAAAGAGTCATTTCCCTCAGTTGTATGCCCACTAGTGACCCCACCATGCTCCAGTGGACAGCCCCAGTCCAACGGCCCTCGTAAACTAAACTAAACAGTACGCAAAATAAAACTAAGTGATGAATCTGGGAAAGGGACTGGCAGGGAGTAGGACTGGGAAGGGCAATAGGGATGAGAGGATACCCAGAATGCACTATGTATGTCTGAAATCATCAAAGAACTAACTTGGTTAATAGGGAAGACTCATGGTGTACTGGTTAGTTTTTGTCAACCTGACAGAAACCTAGACATATCTAGAAAGAGAGAATCTTATTGAGAAAATGCCTCCATAAGATTGGCCTGTAGATGAGTCTGTGGAGCGTTTTCTTGACTGATATGGGAGAGCCTTCCCACTGTGGGCAGTGCCATCCCTGGGATGGCGGTTCTGGGTGCTATGAGAAAGCAGGCTGAGCAAGCCACGAGAGGCAATCCAGTAAGCAGCACTCCTTGTGTCCACCATATCAGCTCCTGCCTCCAAGTTCCTGCCCTGGTTTCCCTAGATGATGGACTACAGGCTGTAAACCTTCTCTTCCCCAAGTTGCTTTTGGACATGGTGTTTTATCACAGCAATAGAAATAGAAACCCTAGCTAAGACATATGGCAAAGACAGGATGGAATATGTTAGCAACTTACACCCAAGCCCATACCCATCCTGCACAACACATCATATATTCTAATTTCCTTCCTTTGACTTTTCCGTGATGTTTTCTGAGTGTATTTTAATATGCTGCCTGTGATAGTTTGAATGTAATTGTTCCCCATAAATTCACAGGGTGTGGCACTATTGGGAGGTGTGGCCTTGTTGAAGTAGGTGTGGTCTTGTTGAAGAAAGTGTGTCATTGTGGGGGCAGACTTTGAGGTCTGTTTTGCTTAGGCTTTGCTCAGTGTCTTAGACCATTTCCTGTTGCCTGCAAGATGTAGGACTCTCAGCTACTGCTCCAACACCACATCTACCTGCATGCCGCCATGCTCCCCGCTATGATGAGAATGGACTGGACCTCTGAAACTGTAAGCCAGCCCCAATTAAATGTTTTCCTTTATAAGAGTTGCCATGGTCATGGTGTCTCTTCACAGCTGTAGAAATCCTAACTAAGACAATGTCCTTTATGATTGTCTTCTCTCTGGACCAATGCAGTTACTTTAACCATGGCAAACAGAGCAGCAGCTTTCTCCAATGATGTCACCTGACATTTTGTCTTTTATTCTTAAATAAGAACCTCAAAGAAGATTTCTGTGGCTGAGGATAGGGCTTAGTGGTAGAGCATGTGTGTAGTATGCACAAGGCCTGAATTCTGTGGAGCCGGGAGGGAGAAGGAGAAGGAAAAGCAGGAGCATCTCCTAGGGACTCATTAACTCTGTCCTTTTTCTGAGTCTGTTGTTCATATTATTATTTGTCTCTGGGCTTTTGCAGGGGTCTTTCCCAAACCACCCACCTGTTTTATGAGAATGGCTTCAGCAGAATCAGATTGCATAATCCATCTATCCACTGCCTGGGATAGAAGTCATTTGGAAGACCACCCCCCCAAACTTGAAAGTTCCTGGACCAGGAATTCCCAAGTTCCCTTCCCTTCCTGCCTATGTATGATCAACACTAGACTGTAGACTGAATAGGAGTGCCTACGTGGATTTATTTAGTAAATATTGGCATGAAAAATTTCTAAACAAAAAATATATTTTTATAATATATGTATATAAATATGTATGTATTTATTCCTCTTTTTCCTCTATATTTCAGTGGATTGTTCTGCAGATCCCACTTTAAAGACCACTGATTTAAGCCTTCCCTTCTATTGAATCAGGTCAGTGTGAATACTAGCTAGCCTCTGCCACTACAACCACCTGTAGTTGATATATTATGCACCCCAGTAAAACTTATCTGGGGGTCAGAGAACAGAACAACCACTATATTAAACATAGAGGTTAGGCAGTGGTAGCACATGCATTCTGGCATTCCGGAGGCAGAGATCCATCCAAATCTCTGGGAGTTCAAGGCCACACTGGAAACAGAGCCAGGCATGGTGGCACACACTTATAATCCCAGCATTTGAGATCTCATGTCTTGCTTGGGAAAGACACATACCTTTAATCCCAAGAAGTGATGGCAGGAAGCAGAAAAGTATATAAGGCATGAGGATCAGGAACTAGAGGTTTTTAAGCTTTTAGGCTTTTAGCAGCAGTTCAGCTGAGATCCATTCGGATGAGGACTCAGAGGCTTCCAGTTTGAGGAAACAGGATTGGCTGAGAAGTTGGCAAGGTGAGGTTGGATGTGGCTTGTTCTGCTTCTCTGATCTTTCAGAATTCACCCCAATAGCTGGCTCTAAGTTTTTTTTTTTTTATTAATAAGACCATTTAAGATTCATGTTACAACCACCTCCCTGAGACACCTGTCCCCTTGTCCGCCCGAACAGCAGCCTACACCAATCTTTCCTTCATGCTTCCGTCTCCAGGGGAAAACATCCTGCCATGTTGGGTCCTCTCCTCCAATGAACTGTTCCACTCACTGAGCCCTTCTGACATCTTAAAGGACACATGAAGCCAAAGATGTGGACACCTCCAGCAGGAAGTACTTCTAATGCACTGGGGGACTGGGGCTTGCTGAAGCAGT